CCACTGAATTGCCTTTGTATCTTTGTATAGCAGTCCCATAATTCTATAGTCTGTTCCTGGAATCTTGTTATTTCAAGAAATTCTGTAGTTTGCTCTTTTTCATTCAGTTTTCCCACTTGTGTGAAAATATGTGTAAAATAAACACAATTGTAATGACTAACACTTACTGAAAACCTACTAAGAACCCTAGGTATTTTATACTCACTCAGTGATTTGATCTTCTTAGCTCTTCCTGGAAAAAGATCTTATGTCCATTTCATTGATGAAGATGCTGAGGGTCTAAGAGTTTCATTTATTCATCCAAAGCTGTCCATTTAAATAGTCAAGCTGAATGAGCCTACGCTTTTCCTGCTAGTCCTTGGATGTGTGACTTTCAGGAACACAGTGAGAACTGATTATTTCACAAAGCCCTTGTTACGGTGAAATGTACTGGAAGAGTATGTGTTGCATTTTTGTTACTGCACATGTAGACTCTATAGGAAATAGTTCTGGACACATTTTTGTTTTAATAGTTGAGTATAGTGTTTTTAATATGCTTTGATACTAGAGCAACAGTATTAAAGAGGATAATACAAAAATTATTCTGTCCATGTATCCTGAGTACTGTTGCTAATGAGAAGTACAATTGGAGATACCCAGATAGTGGGGTATATGGTTCTGATTGTCAAATGAAGGGGTTAGGACTGGAAGTGTAAATTTGGAGTCATCATTATACAGTTTATATTTAAAGCTGGTAGGGGTAGGGAGAAGTGATCCCCTAAGGATGATATTGTAGTGTGAGAATAATACAGAGATGAAGATGTAATTCTGGAAATCAGAAACAGTTAAAGCAGGAATGAACAAATAATGAGGAAGACAAGAAAAGGAGAGTGTGATAAAAGAAACCAAGTGGAGAGTGTGAAGCAGTTGAGAGATGGGAGACTATAAACAGAAGTTACAAAAACATCATAAAGGAAAATCAATTGTTACATAAGATTTCTGAGGAAGGCTCAGCACATAGGCCCTGCAGTACCATGGAAAGACTAGCTCTTCTTTTATCAGAGTGGAGAAAACAAGTTAAGGATGGGTGTTAATGTAAAAGAGTGTATGACAAGAGGACACCCAGAAAATTCCTTTTGATTTCTGTATTTCTCTGGTGTAGAAGTTGAGGTATATTAGTTTGGTAGGGCTGTCATAAGAAAAATGGGTGGCTTACGCTAACTGCAATTTATTTTCTCACCATTCTGGAGTCTTTCATTCTGGGATCAAGGTGTCAGCATGGCTGACTACTTCCAGAGGCTTCTGATTGCCTTGTAGATGGCCATTTTCCTCTGGTGTCTTCTCATGGTCTGTTCTGTCTCTTTTTATAAGGATACCAGTTGTACTGGATTAGGGCCTACCCCAATGACTTCATTTAACCTAAATTACCTTTTAAATTACCATCTCTCTGTAAATATAGTCAACATTCTGAGGTTTGAAGCTTAAGACTTCAGTTTATGAATCTTAGGGGTGAGGAGCATAGTTCAGCCATTTGCTGAAAAAGTGACGAAATGTTATTTCATAAAATACCATAAGAAAAATTAAGAGATGAATATCTAGGTGAAAATATTTTCAACATGCATGTAAGATCTGTAAACAGAATTTCTACATGGGAAACACTCAATGTGAAAGAGCTAAAATTAGAAAGAAGGAAACATTTTGACATAATTAATCGTATTAATTATTGTTATTTATGTTTTTTACTTTCTGGTTCTTAAGAAAGCCTTATTCTAATTCAGCTTTACAAGGATATTGTCCTAAATTTTCTCCTAGTACTTTTCACAGACTAAAAAAATTTAATATGCATGGAATTTATTTCATTATACTGTCAGAGTAGGGTTCAGTTTATTTTCTGAATATATCACTTATTCAAACCCTGTTTATTGAATGATTTGTCTTTTCTTCATTTTTTGAAATATTATGTTTAGTAAATATTAAAATCCCATATATTTAAAATCTAAATCCTATAATTTAGACTCTAGTCCTTGGATAGAACTATAATTTTAATTACTATAGCTTTATAATAATATAAGATATTATTATAACATTAAAATATATTATTATAATATAACATTATTATAATAATATAAAAGCTTTTATAATAGCTTTTATAATTTAATTACTATAGCTTTTATAATTTTTTTGTGAGAAATCCTGGTGATCAGATGTGTGTCTCTTGCCCAGAATGTTTTGCCATAATGTTTAGTGGGCATTTTGCAGTATCCTGTTAACACACACATTACTTTGATAGACACATTAAGTGGTATAAACAGTACATATAATCTCATACCAGAGTGGATCAGGTTTTCCTTCTAAATGAGTTAAAAAGAAGAATTTATCTTTTTTTTAAATTCTAATTAAAACTTTATAGAAGAATATATCTTAAAAAGATTTTTGGATTATAAATCTGTAATTTTTCTTGCTGTTTGGGGATATACCTTCCTTTTTTGTCCAAATGTTTATGATTATTTTGGTTATTCTTGAATCTTTACTCGTCCATGTGAATTTTAGCTTCTGTTTTTTTGAATTATGTGAAAAATTCTCTAGAGATTTTCATTGGGATTGTGCTTAATAGTTGGGGAAGAACAGCTTTATGGGGTTTGTCTTCATGTCTGTGAACATGGATAGCTTTTCTTTCAGGTACTTTTTCATGTCATTCAGTAGTTTTATGGTTTTTTTTTTTTTTTTCTCTCTCAAAAATGTTTGAAGCTGGACATGGTGGCACACACCTGTAATCCCAGTGGCTCTGGAGGATAAGGCAGAAGGATCACAAATTAAAAGCCAGCCTTAGTCAAAGTGAGGCACTAAGCAACTCAGTGAGACTTTGTCTCTAAATAAAATACAAAATAGGGCTGGGGATGTGACTCAGTGGTTAGGTGCCCCTGAGTTCAATCCTCAATACTGCTACACTCCCCCCACCCCCTGCAAAAAAAAAAAAAAAAAAATGCTTGAAATCTTGTTGGATTTATATCAAAATACTTTTACAGTTTTGTTGGTATTGTGAATGGAATTTTTTAAAGTTTGAAACTACATTTTTTAATTGTTGTTGCTAATATCTAAAAGTATTGATGTTTATGAATTGAACATGTTCCTGACCAGTATGTTGAGTTCTGTTACTGGTTCTGATAATATGTCAGTTGATAAGCTTGTGTTCTTTGTTAGAAAATCATATTCAGGGTTGGGGTTGTTGCCTAGCATGTGTGAGGCACTGGATTTGATTCTCAGCACCACATATAAATAAATGAATAAAATAAAGGTCCATCAACATCTAATTTTTTTAAAAAAGAGAAATCATGTTCAAATATTGAGCTTTATTTCTTTTTTCTTTCATTTTTTATTTATTATTATTTATTTATTTTACATGAGCTCTCTTATTATTATTATTTGCATTACAATTCTTAATACACCTTTATACCACAACTTATCATATCTCTGTCAAGATATGTTGACACTAAATTCACATCTTCCTACATGTATTTTGTACAGCGATGAGGGTCTCCTTCCACCATCCATGCAATTCCCCTCTCCCTCCTTTTCCCTCCCACCCCTCTTTCCTATCTAGAGGTAATTTTCTTCCCATGCTCTTCCTATCCCATTTTGAGTTACCCCCTTATATCAGAGAAGATATTTGGTATTTTTTTTTTTGGGACTAGCTAACTTCACTTAGCATAATCTGCTCTAATGCCATCCATTTTCCTGCAAATGCCATGATCTTATGATTTTTTTAGTGCTGAGTAATATTCCATTGTGTATAAATGCCACATTTTTTTTATCCATTCATCCACTGAAGGACATCTAGGTTGGCTCCACAGTTTAGCTATTGTGAATTGTGCTGCTATAAACATTGATGTGGCTGTGTCTCTGAAATATGCTGTTTTTAGGTCCTTTGGGTATAGTATGAGAAGAGGAATAGCTGGGTCAAATGGTGGTTCCATTCTAAGCTTTCCGAGGAATCTCCATACTGCTTTCCAAATTGGCTACACCAATTTGCAGTCCCACCAGCAGTGTATGAGTGTAACTCTCCCGCGGCGCCCCCCCAATCCTTGCCAGCACTTATTGTTGTTTATCTTCATCATGGCTGCCATCTGATTGCTAGAGATGATGGGCATTTTTTTGTATATTTGTTGATTGATTGTATATCCTCTTCTGAGAAGTGTCTGTTCAGGTCCTTGGCCCATTTATTGATTGGATTATTTGTTTTTTTTGGTGCTTATCTTGTTGAGCTCTTTATATATCCTAGAGATTAGCGCTCTATCTGATGTGTGTTCCCAGGATGTAGGCTCCCTATTGACGTCACATATTATTTCTCTTGCTGAGAAAAAACTTTTTAGTTTGAATCCATCCCATTTGTTGATTCTTGGTTTTAATTCTTGTGCCATAGGCGTCTTATTAAGGAAATTGGGGCCTAGCCCCACGTGATGGAGATTAGGGCCTATTTTTTCTTCTATTAGATGCAGAGTCTCTGGTTTAATTCCTAGATCCTTGATCCATTTTGAGTTAACTTTTGTGCATGGTGAGAGATAGGGGTTCAATTTCATTATGTTGCAAATGGATTTCTAATTTTCTCAGCACCATTTGTTGAAGATGCTATCCTTTCTCCAGTGCATGCTTTTGGCACCTTTGTCTAATGTAAGGTAGTTGTAATTTTGTGGGTTAATCTCTGTGTCCTCTATTTGTACCATTGGTCTACCAGCCTGTTTTGGTGCCAGTACCATGCTGTTTTTGTTACTATTGCTCTGAGGTATAGTTTAGAGCTTTATTTCTTCTTTGTTAATCTTAAACTTCTTTTTCTTTTTCAGTTGTATGGTATATGGTCTTGAGACACATAAAACATTTTTACAGTGGCATTTACTGTGAAATACATTGTGCTGTAATCACATTTTGAATCCATGAGTACATAAATGATAGAAGGGGAAATGGGAAGTTTCTGAGAAGGGGAATATTTATTATCAGAGGATTTAATGTGTGATCTTTTCATTACAGATATGGCGTAAGATATTCAAGATTGGACAGCTGGTGACCTGATATTTCTGATAGCCTTAAGCTGACTTATAGCCATAGAGAAATCTCTCCGTTTTTGTTTTCTGCTTTACATCTTTTGTGGCACCTAAGTTCACCTTGCAACCATGTATGGAAGTGCTCGCTCAGTTGGGAAGGTGGAACCAAGCAACCAGAGCCCTGGGCGTTCACCTAGGCTTCCCCGTTCCCCTCGCTTAGGTCATCGTCGAACCAATAGTACTGGAGGGAGTTCTGGAAGCAGTGTTGGAGGTGGCAGTGGGAAAACCCTTTCAATGGAGAATATACAATCCTTAAATGCTGCCTATGCTACATCTGGCCCTATGTACTTAAGTGACCATGAAAATGTGGGTTCAGAAACACCAAAAAGCACCATGACACTTGGCCGTTCTGGGGGACGTCTGCCTTATGGTGTTAGGATGACTGCTATGGGCAGTAGTCCCAACATAGCCAGCAGTGGGGTTGCTAGTGACACCATAGCATTTGGAGAGCATCACCTCCCTCCTGTGAGTATGGCATCCACTGTACCTCACTCTCTTCGTCAGGCAAGAGATAATACAATCATGGATCTGCAGACACAGCTAAAGGAAGTGTTAAGGGAAAATGATCTCTTGCGGAAGGATGTGGAAGTAAAGGAGAGTAAATTGAGTTCTTCAATGAATAGCATCAAGACCTTCTGGAGCCCAGAGTTGAAGAAAGAGCGAGCCCTTCGAAAAGATGAAGCTTCCAAAATCACCATTTGGAAGGAACAGTATAGAGTCGTGCAGGAAGAAAACCAGGTGAGTTTTATGTCTTGTCTGTCTTTATTGGCTGAATTCATGTATATGAATAAAATGAGCCAGTCTTTTTTTTTTTTTTCCCTTGTTAGTTCATTTATCTTTCTTTATCCTATCTATTTTAGTATTTTCTGTCTTTTCTTTCTCAGCCTTTTCCAGATTTGCTTTTATGTCTGCTTTTCCCCCTTATTACTTGTTTTTCTTCAATTCTTTTTCACTTACTATATTTTTTTAAAGTATATATATTTTCAGTTCTGTGAGAATAGAGTATTGCCACACATTCTAACATCCATTACCAAAATTATTTTGATTATTTAAGTGTAAAATATACCAGTAAGATTGGTCATAATGTAAAAAAAAATCAGTCTTAAAAACTATCACAAGTAAGCCAATATGTTATTAAATTACAGATATTACTTTTAAAAAGTTAATGATGTAAATCTTAATTAGGTACTTAAAATGAGTAACTTCTTTTTGTTGATATTCATGTAAGTTTTACTTCAGGGTTTTGATGTTGTTTTTGTTATTCTTTGATTTTTCTAAATTTAAGGTGGAGGAAAGGCAACTTGGTACAATTGATTGTTTTGATAAAATAATATGTGTAGGCATTATAATCACATAATTTTTCAGTTTTAGAACTAAGTGCTTTCCGGTGTGGTTGCTCACACCTGTAATCCCAGCAACCCGGGAGGCTGAGGCAGGAGGATTATAAGTTTGAGAGCAGCTTTAGTAATTTAGCGAGATCCTACACAACTTGGTGAGATCCTGTCTCAAAATTAAGGAAAAAAAAAAGAAAGAAAGAAAAAGAAGAGCCAAATGCTGTCTTAGACACTGTATGAAAAAAATAATTTATTTACTTTTCTGAACTATCTCAGGTTATAGTTGATGTTTGGCTATAGTTGTGTCATACTGTGCAACAGCTCATGAAATCAAATATGTGAGCAAATCATATTTAGCCTGTGGTAATTAAAATCTTAAAATACTTTTTGTTTAAAATACTTTTAGAACATACCTTAAATTTGGGAGGTTGGATTACTTGCCCTTTAAAAAAACTATCATTTCTTTAGAGAATTTCTTTTTTTTGGTACTGGAGATTGAACCTAGGGGCACTTAACCACAGAGCCATATCCCCAGCCCTTTAAAAAAAGAAAAAAAAAATATATATATACACACACACACACATATATTTTTAAATATTTTATTTATTTATGTTTACATGGTGCTGAGGATCGAACGTAGTGCCTCGCATGTGCTAGGTGAACACTCTACCACTGAGCCACAACCCCAACCCCTAAAAAATATATTTTATTTAGAGACAGAGTTTCACTGAGTTCCTTAGGAACTTGCTAAGTTGCTGAGACTGTCGCTGAACTGGTGATTCCAACCTCCTGAAATGCTGGAATTATAGGTGTGTGGCACTGCACCCAGCTTAGAGGAGAATTTTAAAGTAGCTACCTCGTTGTTGTTATTAAACTTATTTTTGGGTTAGGCTAATAAGAATTATAAAGAAAGTAATAAACAACTAAATTTCTGCATTTTTCTTAAGTGATTCCATGAAATACAGAGAGAATTAGAAATGATCTGTGTCTTTTATTTTTTATTTTTTTCAGTACTAGGAATTGAATCACAGGAGTTCCTACCACCAAGCCCTTTTTATTTTTTATTTTGAGACGGAGTTTTGCTAAGTTGCTCAGGCTGCTCTCACACTCAGGATCCTCTTGCCTCAGCTTTCTGAGTCTCCAAGGATTACAGGCATGTGCCCCCTCACCTGGCATGATTGTCTTAACTATTCTGCTAATCATGCTTAGTTTAGGCATTCAGATCTGTTTTGAGTACTGGAAGATCTCAAGGTAAATTGAATTTTGTATGTTAAAGCTACAGACCTGCTTTTCCAGATTTGGTTTTTGGTCATAAGATGAATACAGAAAAACGGAAAGTAAAATTTACCCCATATCCTCCCATCTACTAATAACTTCACTATTGCCCTAAATATTTTGAGGTTTCTTGTTAAAGAAACATAAGAAATTTTGCAGGAGTGGAATATTACAAGTGTTATTCTGTGACCTTATTTTAGCCAACGACATTTCTCCTATATATTAAATCTCTTTAATATATATGTAATCGTTTCTCATGCCTGTGTACTTTTCCATTGTGTTTTTCCTAGATAATATGGTAGGTTAAAAATCTCATTTACTCTGGGCACGGTGGTGCATGCTAGTAATCCCAGTAACTTGGGAGGCTGAGGCAAGAGGATCACGATTTCAAAGCCAGCTTCAGTAACTGTGAGGTACTAAGCAACTCAGTGAGACCCTGTCTCTAAATAAAATGCAAAATAGGGCTAGGGATGTGGCTCAATGATCCAGTATCCCAGAGTTCAACCCCTGGCACCACTCCCCCCGCCAAAAAATATTATAATTTAATTATTTCTCAGGTACGTTATAACCCCAAACTATTTTTCTTTTACTTTTTAACTGGTAATTAAATTTGTCATTACTTAAAATTTTAATGCTTTAATATTCTTAAATATTTCTGTTAGACACCTGGCCTTACAAAATAAGAGTACATTAAAAAAATTGCTTTTAATTGTTGGCAGACCTTTTTTTTTTAATATTTGTTTATTTATATGTGGTGCTGTGAATCAAACCCAAACTTTACTGCTGAGCTACAACCCCAACTGTGAGAGCATGTTCTTTAAAAAAATTTTTCTTAGAAAATTCTGTGAGTTTGACTTATTAAGACTTTAAGATTGTGCAAAGGAAGAAAAGAACTGAAATAGACTTCAGTGATAGATTCTAAACATAAGTAGAGGGGTTACCTAAATGCTGGCTCAGATACATCACTATTAGTAGTTATATTTGTTTAAAACCTAGATTTCTAGATCTTACTGAATAATAACTAAATAAAAACCTCTGAGAACAGAGTTTGGAACTTGTATTTTAAACAAGCTTCTCAGGTGATTTCATGATCTTTAGAATTTAGTATATACTAATTAATCTATTTTTTTTTAATGGTACTGGGATTGAATCCAGGGGTGTCTTCCACTGAGATGCATCCCCAGCCCTTTATGTTTTATTTTTGATTTTGAGACAGGGTCTTAAGTTGCTGAGTACGACCTTGAACTTGTTATCCTGCTTTAGTTTCTTGAATAGCTAAGATTATAGGTGTGCCCTACCATGCCTGGCTAATACATTCAATTCTTAAATTTATCTCTTGCTCATATGCCACTGAATTGTGATGTTTCTGTAGTGTCACTTTTGAGCTCAAAAAAAAAAAATTTTTTTTTTTTTTGGGCAGTGTTGATTTGAATCCACATTCTTGCACATGCTAGGCCAAGTGCTTTATATAAACACTGACCTATAATCTCAGATCTTGAGCCCCAAGAAACAAAGAACCATTCTCTCCATGCTTCTTGTCCTTTTTCCTGTAATGTTAGGGATGCAACATACTTGATCATTATCTATAACAGTGATCCCAGTGGATGTGGTGTATATAGGGGAAAAGAGTGTTAAAATTTTAGAGATGTAGTTCAAAAGAGCCCTGTAAGGTGGACCAGTGGTGCACGCTTGTAATCCCGACCTATAATCCCAGCTATTTGGGAGACTGAGGAAGGAGGATCATAAGTTCAAGGCCAGTCTTGGTAATTTAGCAAGAGTTGGTTTCAAAATAAAAAATAAAAAAAGGACTGGGAATGTAGTTCATTGTTAGAGTGCCCCTGGGTTCAAGCCCTAGTAACACAAGAGAAAAGAAAAAAAGGGGTAAGTAGGACAGGGAAGAAAGGAAAGGAAAGCCCTCAAGGTGATTTTGATGTATCCTCACATTGTGAACCATTGACTCACAAGATAAATACTTAAATGATATGTGATAGCAAAATGAAAATACATTTTATTTAGTTGACAGAAAATAGAATATAACACCAAAAATATATTATTCATTATTATAAAGTAATTGTACCTTCTCAGTTTTATTGTGTAGTATTGGGTTATAAATGTTAGAAGAGGAAAAAATGAGTTTGTATTCTTCAGTCTTGTGACGAAGTATCAGTGTAGCATAGTATTAGAAACTGTATCTTGTGTTCTTAGGGTATGAAGTCCTTTTTTTAAACAATATTGATAAGTTTGTAGTGTGTATGTGGTATATATGAAATTGGTTATATGTATTTAGACAAACATTATAATTGAATATTGTCCAATCTGAAATGTGTTTTAATAAATAAAAACAGAGTTCCATTTAATTTTAAAGTGTGTAAATCACCATCTTATTATAAAAATATATTGTAGGTGGCTGTGGTGGTACACACCCGTAATCCCAGGAGGCTGTCAGGAGGATTGCAAGTTTGAGACCAGATTCAGCAATTTAGCAACATCCTGTCTTAAAAAAAAAAAAAAAAATTAAAAAAGGTCTGGGGGTCTGGGGTTGTAGCTCAGTGGTAGAGTGCTTGCCTAGCATGTGTGAGGCACTGGGTTTGATCTCAGCACCACATATAAATGAGTAAAATAAAGGTCCATTGACAACTAAAAAATATATATATATTTAAAAAAAAAAAAAAAAAAAAGGACTGGGTATGTAGCTCAGTGGTAAAGTGACCCTGGGTTCAGTTCCCAGCTCTGCAAACAAAGAAAACAATAGCAAAAACCAGAGCAAAAAAAGAGAATATTGTGAAAAATTTACATATGAATGCATACTTCTCTTTAAAATGCTCCACCTTTCTAATATAGATTTTCTCTGTGTGTGTGTGTGTGTGTATGTGTGTGTGCAAACCTATAAAATTGAAAGTGATTGGGGTTCCCGGATATATTAGTGAATTAGCTAACCCCAGGCTTATCTTGCTGATGATTCTGAAAATAATGCCCGTAGAGAAGATTGTTTTTCTTATCAGGTGACTTGGCAAAGTCCAGTTTATTGCAGTTTATTGAGGAAAAGTTACTGGGATGCTTGTTGATTTTGATATTGAGGCACATTTTTATACCTATATGTCAGAAGCTTTGGGGAAAAAAAACAAATGC